GGGGGGGGGGGGGGGGGTGGGGGCAGATGATGGCAGCCCCGGCATAGCCCTGTCCCCAGCATCCCCTCCTGTCCCCAGGCCAGCAGGGTCAGCAGAACCAGGCACGGGTCCTGGGGATGGGGACGGGGGGATGTGGTGGGGACAGGGAGCCCCTCTTGCAGCGAGCAGCCGCCGCGCTCTCTGTCCGGCAGATCTACCGGCGCTGCTGGCTGGTCTTCCGCAAATCCTCCAGCAAAGGGCCCCAGCGCCTGGAGAAGTACCCGGATGAGAAGTCGGCGTGCCTGCGGGGGTGCCCCAAGGTGAGGGGGTGCGCTGGAGGGGTGCTGGGGTGCTGCCCGCTGCTTGGGGACCCGTGCCAGAGCAGGTCCTTGCTTGCCTGAACTCGCTGGGTGGCTGTCAGCCCATGCGTTCCGGACGGGGATGCAGCTGGGTCTGGGTGCTGCAGGTGTCAGGGTCTGCGTGCAGCAGGGAACAGGGTCTGGGAGCAGCCCTCGGTGACCCCCAACTCCTCTGCAGGTCACCGAGATCAGCAATGTCAAGTGCATCACGCGGCTGCCCAAGGAGACCAAGAGACAGGCGGTGGCCATCGTTTTTACCGACGACTCCGCCCGGACCTTCACCTGCGACTCAGGTGCGGGGCAGCGCCCAGGGGAGCCGGGCTGAGGGTGCTGGGTGGGGCACCCCGGCGTGGCCAGGGTCGCCCAGGGGCTGCCGTGGTGCCTTGCAGAGCTGGAGGCGGAGGAGTGGTACAAGACGCTGTCGGTGGAGTGCCTGGGCGCCCGCCTGAACGACATCAGCCTGGGGGAGCCCGACCTGCTGGCGCCCGGCGTGCAGTGCGAGCAGACGGGTGAGCGCGGCGGGGAGTGCTCGCCCGGGGCTCCGCCTCGCTGCACCCCCCGCTGATTATTTTATTTTCTATTTTTTTTTTTTTTCTCCTTTCCAGACCGGTTCAACGTGTTCCTCCTCCCCTGCCCCAACCTGGACGTCTACGGCGAGTGCAAGCTGCAGATCACCCACGAAAACATCTACCTCTGGGACACGCACAACCCCCGGGTGAAGCTGGTCTCCTGGCCCCTCTGCTCCCTGCGCCGCTACGGCCGCGACGCCACCCGCTTCACCTTCGAGGCCGGACGGTGAGATGTCACCCTTGCCAGGACAGGGATCACAGCTCTGTGCCCTCCTCCAGCTGGATGCTGCAGGCAGTGGCGCTGCTGGCATCACCACAGGGCAGGCCTGAGGCTGGGGTGATGGCCGTGGGCTGTACAGTGTGCCCGTGCTTGGAGCTGGTTCTGATCCCAGATCAGCACCGTGAAGGGAGCCTAGGCACAGCTCTAACAGTGTGGGAAGCTGTGCCAGCTGTCATCTGGGCGGGTTTGGCTCATCATCCCTTGACTTGAAGACCTTGGTGCCATCCTGTGCCCTGTCCCCACAGGATGTGTGATGCAGGGGAAGGTCTCTACACCTTCCAGACGCAGGAGGGTGAGCAGATCTACCAGCGCGTGCACAGCGCCACGTTGGCCATCGCTGAGCAGCACAAGAGGGTCCTGCTGGAGATGGAGAAGAACGTCAGGGTGAGCTCCAGCCCGTGCTGAGGGGGGACACAGCTGGGGGAGACTCTGGGGACCCTGTGTCACTCTCCTCCCCCTCATCCACTGCAGCTGCTGAACAAGGGCACTGAGCACTTCTCCTACCCCTGCACGCCCACGACCATGCTGCCCCGCAGCGCCTACTGGCACCACATCACTGGCTCCCAGAACATGGCCGAGTCCTCCAGCTATGCTGGTGAGTGTCCCCACCCCACGCCGAGGGGATGCTGCTCCTCCAGCCCCCAGAGCTTTCCCCACCAGGTGAGCCCACCCTCTGTTTTGTCCCCAGGGGAGGCGTATGCAGGTGCCCAGGCCAGCTCGGACGCCGACCTCCTCAACAGGTTCATCTTGCTGAAGCCAAAGTCCTCCAAAAGCGACAAGCCTGAAGACAGGGAGCCCACATCTTCCCCATGAGCTGGTGTGGGGGGACTGTGGCAGGGGTCCCTTTTTTCTTCTCCAAGGGGTGGCAAGGACGCAGGCAGTGACCCCTCAGAATCTCCAGGAGACTGAGCTGGGGCACCTCGGTGCCAAGACTAGGAAGCAGGCACTGGCTCACGCCCTGGTCTGGTGTTAGTGGAGGCGATGGCTGGCTCAGCCTCAACTGACTTCAAATATATATTGAATTCCTGTATTGTAAGAGATATTTCCTTCTCACATGAATGCAAATGTGGTGGCTGCTGAAGAGCCCTTGGGCAGATGCCCAGAGGTTTTTGACTCTTAGGGATCCAACTGGGAGGTGAAGAGAGTTGGGGGGGGGTCAAGAAATTTGGAGTTTTCTGCGTGGCAGGAAGGATGGAGCATCACTCTGCCATGGCCATGGAGCAGCGTCGGAGGATGCAGCTGTGTCAGGCTGATGGTGCAGGGTCCCACCCCCCCCTGAAGAGCAGGGTGCTTCTGAGGACACCCTGCCATCCCTGAGCTGATTTTTGCACTTCTTCAAGCTATTTAAATGCTCGCTGTAGAATTGATATGTCTCAGGAGAAACTGGTTTTCCTTCCAGGGGGGTTGACTGGGGTGAGCGGCCAGGCAGAGACGAGCTCCCTGGCATCTCCCACCCCAACACCCCTCACTTCTCCCACAGCTGTGTCCCCCTGCCATGCCCCTGGTTTATGTGCTGGTGGGCAACCATGGGACTGGTTTTGGCCAGTAGCATCTGTCTCTCAAGGGGCAGCTTTGTGAATATGAGAAGCCCCAGAGCAGAGAAACCCATGCTGATGGGGGGAGAGAGCCACATTCCTCTGTGCATTCCCACAGCCCTCACTTCCTCCTCACCCACGGGGGTGGAACTGGGCTTTATGTGCTGAACTTAAAAAGCAATTGATTTTTTCTAGTTCTCCTATTTATTGACCTCCTTTAGAAGGGCTATCTTTTTATTGCCGTGCAAACCTTGGTGTTTGGAGTCTTCTTTCTGTCTGGATTGGATGCTTGGTGGTTTTATTTCTGCCCTTTAAAGCTCCAGGTCCATATGTTGGGCACAGGGAGTGTTGTGATGTGGGAATCTGTGGTCTGTAAATACTGTGTTTCAGGGTGGTGTAGCTTGTGGCTGAGGGGACATGGGGACAGAGAAAGGCTGCTCCTCGCAGCATGGCTGGGCACAGAGGGGCTCTGGATCCTAGCACTGCCCAGCAGTGTGTCCTCCCTGGGGTGAGAGGTGGAACTTGCCCTCTTTTCCTGGCTACACACCTCATCTGGAAAAGATTTAACATTTGTTACCAAAAATGTTTGGGTTTTCTGTTTTTTAAGGAGTTGCTCAATGAATAAACAACCCTTATCCACATCCACCCTTCCTGTTTGTCTGTTCCATCCAAGCGCGCTCGGGAAGCGCGAGTGGGAGTAGTGCCTGCCAGAGAGAAAAATGCTGATGGGGGGAGATTTCCTGAGGTTCCTGGCAGCATGCTTGGCTCAGGGCTTTGTTCTGCCTCCAGCCATGGCCAATACATTTCAAGTGAAGCCCTAAAACCACTGGGATAGGAAGAAGTGGTTCCTGAGTGGAACAGGGTGCCAGCAGCCCTCTGTCGCCCTCACCTCCAGCTGCCCATGGCTCTGGGGATGTGCCAGGCCAGTGGTGGCTCCAAGTCCACAGGTGAAGGAGTTTCAAGGCACACCATCCCCCAGCTCTCCCAGAGCTGTGCCAGGTAAGCTATCCATGCCATGACTGTCTGGCAGCACTGGCCTCATGGGTAAGACAGCTATGCCAGCCAGCACAGTGATCCCTCCAGGGATGGGGAGCCATGCTGCAGCCACCTCTGCCATGGCAAGGAAATGGAAGCAGCAGCCTGGTTGCAGCAGCTTTTGCCCAGAGGGGAAGGCAATGCTGACATGGGCTGCTCTCCCCAGCTCAGTGTGACCCTAGCACCACCCCCTGAACCATCCCCATCCACACCAGGATGAGTACAGGGACACAGGCCTTTCCCTCCCTCCCAGCGCCCGTGGTACAGGAGCTGAAGGTCTCTCCAGGAAAGTGTCACCAAGAAGCTCATCCCAAGTCATGCTGGGCAGTGATGAAGGAAGAGGAGGGGTGACAAAGTGGCTTTCAGACACTGCCAGTGGGGTCAGGGCATGGGACCTGCACCTAACTCCAGCCCAGCACACACTGGGGGCTGTGGGCACAAAGAAATATATCAGCCAGGGGCCATTACTGACAGCCCATGTGCCACCCAGCTCCTCAGGAAAGGGTTATACAGCACAGGGGTGGAGTCTGTTCCAGAGGATTCTGTAAGTACAGCTTTGCCTGCCTGGCCCAGCTGGGCTCCCCTGCAGCGCTGCCTTCTGCAGCTCTCGCCCACCCCAGCCTCCAACATCTGCTTTACACACAGCCCTGGATCAATGAACGCTGGGCTGCCTGCAGGAGGGTGCTGCTCTCCTCAGGAGATAATGTCACAAGCAGCAATCAGCATCAGCGAGCTGTGCTCCCTCCAAAGCAGATCTCATTAAGTTAATGTCTATTGGAGAGAAGTAAATGATGTGACATCTCCTCTAGCAGCCTTGCATGAGCTTTCATGGATAACAGAAAAATTTGGGGGTAAGGCTTTATTCAGCACAGTAAATGGACATGTAAATAAGGTAGGGTTGTGTAACACACACATGGCCAAAATCCAACACCAGAACTAAAACTCCAGGATAATTTGGAGACAAAGCCTGTCCCAGCTAAGATGCTCACTGACTGATTGCCTTCCTGTTTTACCTTCCACATCACAATGGCTTTTCCCTGGGAAGGAGGGCCAGGGAAGAGGTGTCACCAACCAAGCGCTGGGCCAGGAAAGGCAGAGGGAGATGATGGGGAGGTAAAAGCCTCTCCCCAGATCTCAGCCAGGCATCACTCACAGCTACAGCACTCTCTTGCAAGGGCCACCTCAGTTGATAGTGAGGACATCGCTCTGGATCTCGTGGCTCAGCTGTGTCTGGAGGTCGCTCAGTTTCTTCTTGAGGCCGGACAGTGCAGACAGGACGATGGTCTCAGGGCGCAGGGAGCCGCAGGACTCCACGTTGTAATAAAACCTGAGGTTACAGCAGGGGTTAAGTCACCACCACCTCTGCAAACCCAGACTGCACATCATTCCAGCCCATCCACACCCACAGCAGGGAGATCTGCCTGGAATCCCAACCATCATGATCATCATTCACCTCCCAAGCAGGCAGCAGCCAGTGCTGCCCCTCTACAACCGTCACACCAACACTCACAACTTCACAGGCTGCAAGAGCACTTCTGAGATTGATTTCTGTTCAGCAACGTGACCTGTGAGCCAGCAGCCCCAAGCCAGGGACTAAGGCTGGCCGAGGCACTTTTGCAGTGCAAATAACACCAGCAACCAGAGCATGAGATACACACAGGTGAATGAATATCTTAAGCCAGGGTATTTCCCCTGCAGGCCTCACACCTCACTGAGTGTGCACCACCCTCCCTGGCAACATGAACTCAGGAGAACTGTCTAGTATCTCCCAGAGGGGAAAACCTGCCACATCTAGGTATGTCATCACTTAACGCCATCTCCTGCCCCGCTTTTCAGGGAATGTCAGCTCCCTGGGCTGGCAATTTCAGCACAGTGTAAACACTCTTCTATTAATGAGAGCCTATGAGATGCACCCAGCCAGTCACCCCATCTTCCAGCTGCAGCACTGCATTCAGCTCCCTACCTCTCTGGCTTCCCGTTGGGGTCATAGGGAGCCTGAGCATCCTCATCGTCGATCTCCGAGTACTCACTCTTGGGCCTGGAATCAGAGAGCAGGAGAGGTTACACAGAGCCCCTGCTCCAGCCTGGCCCCACAGAGCCCAGGCACTCAGTTTGGCCCCATGAGTGAGCACTGGGGCTCACATGCAGCACGCAGCAGGGTGGTCACCAACACCAAGCACCAGAGCACACTGTGCTTTGTGGCTCTTCATTAATGCCACAGAATCATCCAGCAGCACAGGAAGGGGATCAGCCCTGCTCTGCCCAAACTCAGCAAGCCCTGTACTGTGGCTCCATCCAACTACACTGGTACAATCTGGCAGGTGCTTACAGTGAAGGGATGTTGATTCCTGAATGGACTGTGTTTATAGAGCCTGGATGCTTTTATGGAGTAATGGACCTTGGGTTATCTTTTCTTTGTACTTCCCACTGGGTCAGGAAAGCACTGGAGTACTCAGCACTCAAGTTGGTGAGGCACAGTTGGCTTGGACCCAGCAGGGAAAAAATCTCCTGTACAACAGACACCACCTGCATCAGTGAACTCCATCCTGATGTCCTGCACCTCCACTCCTCTACCAAAATCACTGCAATACCTGTGCATCAGTTAGGCAAACACATCTTTCTACCCGCTGCATCCCTTGGTTTACAGAGACTCTGTGGAACCACTTAATCAATGTAAGAAAACCTAAAGCCTTGAGCTGTCTGAAAAGCCAGCACAGAAAATCCTGTACCCACCAAGGTCTCCTGCTGCCTTTCCTCTGCCCCAGCAATGCTGAGAAACACTGATCCCAGCACCCTGTAATCAGCTGCCTGAAATAAAACTCTATTTCTCAAACAAACCTTCTGCCTGTAAAAACCACTGAGATGAAGTGTTAATGAAGGTGGCATTTCTTGTTACTTGCAGAACCACCCATGACCAAAACAGTGCAGAGGTTTCCATGACCCTGACAGCTGTTTGGAGAGTCCAGCTGCATGCCAGTGCTCTGCCAACAGCCTCAAAAAGCAACTAGCATGAAAAGCTAAACCAAAAATCATAGCTAGCCTTGGACAGCAGAAGGCTTTGGCTCTGTATTTTCTTCACAGGGAGTCAGATGAACTTGAAAAGACAGACATATAATCAGGAACTGGCAGCTCCAATATCAATCCTCTTTTGGGATTTTTCCAACTTTTACATATATTTTGCCTAGCACTTCTCAAAAACTGTTTCCTGGTGCCCTGTCTGTTGTATGCCACAGGTTTCTGAGCCTGCCACTGATCAATGTTTACAGCAGAGCATCCACTACCCTGTCCAGTCCTTGCTCTCAGCTTGCCCTGCCTAAAGCACCTGGGTTCCTCACTATGCTGCTGGCTCCAGAGTGCTCAGTGACAGGATGTCTGCTAGCTGATCACTGGGATACAGAGCCAGGAGCAGCTCAGGTGAGCAGCAGTCATGAAAAGTGATGCTGGATAAAGTCCTCACCCAGGCCAAAGCAGGGCAGCATCTTTCCAAAAGTAAAATCGTGTCACTTTTGGATGAGAAGCTGTGTGCAACTTGTGCAGAATGGTACTTCAGAGGAGAGGAAAGGGCCAGAGAGGGAAACCCTGCCAGAGCTCAGGCTCCAGGAGTGAGAAGATGTATGGGTTAAATCACAGCCATACTGGGCTTCCTCAAGCCAGGCTGAAAAATCAGTCTTGCAACCCAACCTTCCACTCTTTGCTCTCATAGCAACTTCTTTCATCTCACATGGATCTGTTCCTTCCTCAGACCTCACTCTGACCTACAAAACACTTGCACAGGGAAGAAAAAAATCAGCAAGAAGTGGTGAAAAAGGGCACGAAAGCAAGGCAAACCAGCAGTGATGGTACATGAGGGAGGACAAAAGATGACCCCAAACCAGTCCACCTTGCATGCAGCTGCCAACAAGCGACTGGCCTTGCTACCCAACCCCAGGAGCAGAGTCTGTGCAAGGCAATGCTGCAGGCACGCTCCTGAGCCAAATTATCCCCAGGGCTAA